GCACACTCGTTTACCTTTTCAAATTCATGCTAATAAAAGTTCGAAACCTTTTAATCGTCTTTATTATGATATTTGGGGTGGCTATTCTACCGCCTCTATTTGTAGCGTACACTATTTCTTAACTATCGTTGATGATTTTTCACGCACTACATGGATTTATTTAATGCGTTTTAAATCAGAAACCTTTAGTCACTTAATGCATTTCTTCGCTCTTATTAAAAATCAATTCAACTCATCGGTTAAAATAATTCGCACCGACAATGGACAAGAGTTCCTTTCACATAACCTCCAAACCTATTTTCACACTCACGGCATCATCCATGAGCGTACTTGTGTTGAAACTTCGCAACAAAATGGCGTTGCAGAGCGTAAACATAGGCACCTCCTGAATGTTGCTCGCAGCATTTGCTTTCAGGCAAACCTACCACTCAAATTTTAGGGAGATTGTGTTCTTACTGCTGCTTATCTAATCAATAGAACCCCAAGCCGCTCCCTACAAAATCAAACTTCTTTCCAACTTCTTCTCAACACCCCCCCATCATACACTCACCTACGTGTGTTTGGTTGCCTTTGTTACGCTCAAACCCTCATCGCTCATCGCGACAAATTCTCACACAGATCATCTTGTTATGTCTTCATTGGTTACCCTAGCAACCGCAAAGCTTACAAGCTATACAACCTTGACACCAACACCATTTTTTACTCACGCGACGTCACCTTCCACGAAAATCAATTTCCCTTCCATCACATCACACCCCCTTCTCTTAATGACTCCACCATCATTCCCTTACCTATCACCGAACTCATATCTCCTCTCCCTTCCTCGACCATACCCCAAGAACCCCCACCCACTACCACTATTCCTTCCCGACGTCGTCGCCACACTACTCGTCCAGCATGTCTCCTTGATTATGTCTGTCCTACTATCCCTGCGAAGTCCATTGCCGCCTCAACCGCTACACAGTCCTCAGGTACTTCCCACCCCTTATGCACTTATCTATCATACTCTCGTTTTTCTCATGCTCATTATTCATTCTTAACTGCTCTTACTGCTTCTGTTGAACCGACTTGTTACTCAGAAGCAAATGGCCACTCTCATTGGCGTGAAGCTATGGCCTCTGAACTTCGTGCCCTTGAAGAAAATTCCACTTGGACACTAGAAACCCTCCCTCCTGGTAAGAAACCCATCGATTGTAAGTGGGTATACAAAACCAAGCTCCGACCAGATGGCACTATTGAACGATACAAGACCCGACTTGTAGCCAAAGGCTACACTCAATTAGAGGGAATTGACTATCATGAAACTTTTGCCCCAGTTGCCAAAATGACCACAGTACGCTGTGTCCTTGCTGTTGCCGCCACCAAAAATTGGGTCATCCACCAAATGGATGTCCATAATGCCTTCCTGCACAGTACACTTGATGAGGAAATTTACATGATCCCACCACCCGGCTACTGTGTTAAAGGGGAGACACGAGTTTGCCGCCTTCGAAAGTCACTCTATGACCTCAAACAAGCTTCTCGGAACTGGTTTTTTAAACTAACATCTGTTCTTCTTAATGCAGGTTTCGTTCAGTCACAAGCAGACCACTCCCTATTTACCTTGATCACTGCAACCAGTCTCACTATTATCCTTGTTTACATTGATGATATCTTGGTTGTTGGCAATGATCTTTCTCAGGTTATCTTCTTCAAGAGCGTTCTTTCCAGCAACTTCAAAACCAAGGATCTCGGCCCTCTCA